TGCAAGTAATGACTAACAATATAATGTTGCTAGACTGTGGCTTAATTTGGTCAAAGTGACGGCTTTAGACGGATATTCATCCATACCAAAATGCTATTTTTGACCAAAAATAGTGTTTGTAAATTGAAATTTATGTCAAATTATAAGCATTGCTTTTGAAATCAATTCAATTCGCCTTTGGCAAAGTTGGGTGTGTTCAAATAACTATATTTATGGTTTGATGCTGAATAAATTGCATTTGATTAGCCACTACTTCAACTCGTAAATGTTGCACAGCAACAAATGCTCACTTATGAGGTAATGCACTTTTTATACGTCTCACAACGATTTATGTTTATTGGCATTCAAACAATATTTTTCTTGTTGCTGTCGTTCTGGCTTAGAGCAGTGTGTCTGGCGAAACGAACAAATGTCAAGTCAGCCATGTACATGTGTGGCACGCCCTCCCACCCCTGAGGGAGGCAAGCAGCTGAACAACATTTGAAAGCCGTGGAAAAGTCGCGCACAGAAATCCTCAGCCGATTCAGTTATACGAAGGAGTTTCGCAACTACTTTTGACTGTAATCCGCGCTTATAAGCTTCGCCTGAGCCTCTTGTGTCCTGCTCCTGTCTGCCGCATAATGGAACCAAGCGGCGGGAATGGGCGTTGCATGTCGTTTTAAGTGCGCCTCACATGCGATGGCATGTTGCCAAGTTGCCAACTTGGCGGCTGCCACAGATATAAATGACTAACGGTTATGGCGCCCGTCGACTTTTAAGCTTCTCGATTTGCGTATCAATCGCAGACAACTGCAGCTGGAGAGCAGCCAACTCTTCCCGTGGGGAAAACTATTGGCATACAGTATTACACTGTATATGTATAAACAAAAATACGATTTATGGTTTCATATTTATTTAACACTTACATTTGGGTGTAATTTTAAGGTCTAGACTAATATATCAGTCGATTGTTCATCATCGCAATTAAATTCGGAATCATCTTCAGATTCGTATTCAATTTCAGCGTCCGATTCTTCTTCGAATGTATTCTCGTCCTCATCATCATCGACTTCTTCTTCTTCTTCTTCTTCTTCGCTCTATTCAGATTCGCTTTCATCATTCAGTTCAGTTTCGCCCTCCACGAGGCACATCCTACCTGTAATTATGGTTGCCAATTTTGCTGGAACTGTAATCTGGTTTTATTCGTAGCTCGAACATGGAACTTTAAAATTCGCTTTCTTGAATACATTTATTGCGGCAGACTTCAGCTGCACAAAACATTTGACGTTTGCATCCGGTTCAGTTTTCATCGCCATATTCGGTCTTATATGCGAAATGTTCTCACAGCCTGCATAAATGCCAATGAAAGAGAAACAAAGTGGAAGAGTGGCTGGAGAGCAGTGTTGCACAACGTTTGCATAGCTGATTTGACACGCACTCACACACACACATACACACACACACACACACACATAAGCAAACACATAGAAACATGTTTTGCAACACATTTTTGCACTTTTGTACGTGTTTTGTGTGTGTTTTTGTCGCCCTGCCAGCATTCACATGTTTTCGCTTGTATAACAATATTATGACAAACAAAAGCCACATACCCACACACACACTCTAAGACCCCCCACTCTACTGTGTGTAAGTGTGTGTGTGTGTGTGTGTGTTTGGGGAGCGTGGGCCTCGCTTTGTTTGCATGTGTGTGTAAATTTAGAAATTATGTTTTCTTGTCTTTTAATTAATAATCTCAAGGGTGTTTGCGGCTTTTACTTGCAATTGGAGTTGGAGTTGGAGCTGGAGTCGAAGCCAGTCAAGACACAAGTTGAAGATACTTTTACATACAAGCAAATGAGACGTATGTGTGTGTGTGTGTGTGTATGCTTTTCCAATTGGCAGCAGGGCGCACACAATGTGAACTTGTGGCAAAAACAATAGACGTATTACGTATACACTGTTTACAGTTAACGCTCGATAATTATAATAATTATTTTAATCACATATCCGTTTATTTATGTTGCGTTGAGATTGAAACAGATGATAATTAATAATCATCTACAATGTTATCAACAAGAATTGGACGTCAAATTCATTCCAATCGACGAGTCGGTTCTTAATCGGCGAGGTAACACTGTACACGGATTTCATCTGTCGTCTGCCTGTCTGTCTGTCTGTACACTTTACCCACAAACATGAGAAACCAATGCCAGCTGCTGCTCCTCCGACTCCGCCGCCCTCTCCCTTTACCTGCCTCACCTTATCCTGCCGCTGCTGTGCTGAGGCGGCAGTTTTATGGTCTGCTGTTGTTGTGTGAGTTGACAATGTGATTTACATTTAATTAAAATCGTATTTACTCGTTAGATAAACAAACAGAGCACAATCGCACAATTGGCAGGCGGTCGGGTGTCGCGTCGTTTGCTTTCTGCCTCATTTGACTTGAGGAGCAACAGCAGCTGGAGAGGATTAAGTTCTAAATGTGGAAAAAGTGACGCATGTCAGCAGGTGTTGGCGTCTCTGTCTCGGCAGCACGAGAACGTCTCCTCGTCAGCAAATGTTGTCACCTTGTCAAAAATAAGAACGCCATCGATCGCAGCTCAAAATAAATAAATACATTGAAAAACGAAAGGAAAAGGAAAAAAAGAAACCTACGTCTTGGCACAAATAACGCAAATTGAATTTAATTTAAAGGTCAAAACAAATTTAGACGTATTTTAATGTGACTAGTACAAAATATGATTTTGATACATTCATGAAAAATTCAAATTATATTTGATTGGCATATTTCAGGCTCTAATGGAAGGTCTCAACTCAAACTCGATTCGGATTCAGGCACATTGCTGGACAAATTTTAAGTACGCATAGAAAACGACGACGGCAGCTTGAACTTAACAATCGACATACAATTGCTTATTTTTTGTGTCTCTAGATAGATGTTCTTTGTAAAATTGCATGTGTTTTTATTAAAAGAAAACTTTAGACAAGTCAACATTGTTTCTATAGGAGAATAAACAAAGAACTTAATGTATATACAAGTTTAATTTATATGCTAATTCGCAAATGTAACTTTGGATGTACTGATTGCACAGTTGACTGATTACACACATTGCACATTTCCGGCGTTTATCAATGCTAATTTGCGTTGCCAAGTTTTGCAGTTAACGGAAACAGGAAAATGGCAGCATGCAATGCAACAACTCAGCGGCCCATAAAATGACCACGACAAATTTCTGTTTAAGTTGCAAAATCAATTCGACTCAGTCTGTCTGTCTGTCTGCGTGACTGTCCGACTGTGTGTGTGTGTGTGTGTGTGTGTGTGTGGTGTGCGAGTGTCGCATTACATCCTTTGTAACATCTTTCAGTTATTGTTGTTGCTGTTGCTGCTAATCGATACATTTTGTGCTTTTAACTGGAAGAGTTGTCCCTCCCATCTTCCTCAACAGCAACTGTCCTTCTTTTGGGCATGTAAAACCAATACCAGGACAAATTTGTACGACAGACACAGACAATCGACGAGGGACAATGAACAATGGACAGATGAGCTGGAGCAGATGGTACTGGGGGTAGGGGCTTATTTCAAGTGTCAATACATATATAAATCAATGCCCAAAGGTGCTGTTTTTGGCTACCCAGTGTGACCAGGTCTTTGCATGGGTCGAGCAATCAATTTTAACAAGCAACATTTCCATTCCAAGCCCTGCATTTATCATGTACATAGTATATACATACATACATACATACATGTACACACATAGTTCATTCCTTCACCTACATTCTTGCAAGGCAGTCTTTTTGTTCTGCATGTCAAATGCTAACTAATTGGCTGCTTTCCCGGGGATTATTTACACTGATCTATAGAGAGAGTTGAGGGGCCTAGAAATACAAGTCTCGCATTTGGTGCGATTTAATAGCATAGCAATTTACTCACACACACACACGCACACACACGCACACACACACACACAGAACCACCCATACAAATTGCTAGCTGTAGCCTATTTTAAACGTTTGTTACACGCTGTAATTGGAGAGAAAATTGCAGGGCGCTTACAAAAAAGTTTGCAGACATTTTTTTTTTTTTTGTTATTATTATTCCTATATAAGTTTTAAACTATTTACTGCTGTCGCTGCTTTTGTTTTTGCTGTAACTCAAGAGCACCATTAAAGAAAAAACACACACAAAAAAAAAATTAAAGATGAATAAAAAAAGCGAAGAGTAAACATGAAAAATAAAACTCAAAAGTCTGCGGTGGCATTGCAGGCATGGAGAAATGGTGAAATGGTGAAATTAATGCCAGCTCTACAAAAGGAAGCTGCAGCTGCTGCTGCTGCTGTTGCAACAATGGGTTGCGAATCTCAGATATCCGAAACTTGCATAAATTAGGCATGGTGGGGATAATTTTGCGGAGCGCACTGAGGTTAACTCAAACTGCAGTTAATGTTGGGTGGGGAGGATTTGAGCAATTCATCTTTAACTCACTTTAATTGCAGCATAGTTTTGCTGTGGATTGCAGTAAACTTCAACATATGACTTACTCAAGTATATACTAGATTTTGATTAGCAAAAATTGCCATTTCAATGGTTACACGACTACATCATTAAATGTAATTAAAAGCAAAATATTAAACAAAATATTAATCACTCTGGTTTACATTTTTAATTGATGGGAAAAAATGAATTGTGCAACACTGACAACTACCAACTGGCAGCTGCAATACTGATCGTATTGCCACGTCATCGATATCGTTATTGACACAATTCATAAAAAACTAGAACCAGTCACATTTTTTTTTTTCTCGTAAATTAGCAACGGATAATATTAATTGCATCACTTTATTTAATCATCAATTAAAATAGCTGCCTTCACTAAGCACTTTCAACTGCGTAATCTAGTAGTCCGAGTCAAATGGAATAGGCTATGTGAGCCGACAGTCAAATTGGGCTTTGATGTTTATTGTGAGCTGCTTGCATGAAAAATATAAAATAAATTCGAAAACATTTTGTTTTATAATGCTGCAAAATGAATTCACTGGGCAATAATCGCTATCAGATGCTCTTCATTGATGATGAGCCCGACGACTTTGAAGCTGGCCAACGCAATTTGGACGGTGGACAGCAGAAGACCAAACAACAGCTCAAGAACAACAAAAAATTGTTCACTGGCAGCGATAAGACCAAGGGCATTGTGGTGAACAATAAGAACAAGAAATTGGTTGCCAACATAATGAAGACAATGCCAGGTCCAGTGCAGCAACAACAACAAGAGCAACTACAGTGTCATCAGTGCATGAGCTACATGAATAACAACAACAACAACAACATCAGCAACAACAATAGAAAGTATGTGCACCCAACTCGCAACGTCACAGAGTCCAAGGCATATGGTGCAGCCACTGGTGGCAGCAACAATAGCAACAACAACAACAATCGCCGCTTGGAGAAAAGTGAGTTTGATCGTCATTCGGGCTCCGATAAGACGGGCGTCAAGGCTGTTGCCAAACAGAATGGGGCCAAAGTTAAGCAGCATATGGGTACAACACCATATAACGATACAGCAACCGCCAATGCTAATAATGAGGATGAGGATGTCAAGTATATAACTATCAAGGAATATGAGGCAATGCGCTCTGAACGTCTCAAGCCCGTCTTTAACATTCGCAAGGCCGGCGAGGGGGAGATGGAGAGGCCCGACTGGAAACAGATGACCGTCTTGCAGAAGAAGAAGACCAACGCAATCAATTCCGAGACGAACGCACTCGGCTACGATGCCTCCATGTATCCTCAGCGTTGGCGCCGCCAACAGCGCGTCGACATCGAGTTGAAGTTCAATTACAATGCCCATTACAAGGGACAGTACCGCAGACGTCCGTCGATCGGCCAGGTCGAGGCTGGCCACGGTGAGCAACAACCTGTCGATTTGCAAGATAAATCTGAGTTTCCCACACTATGCCGATGTTAAGGCTAACCGCAAACAGCCACACAATCAATCACTAATCAACCACTGACCACAAACCAGCTAAACACTTCCAATAAACGAAAACATATGAACAACTGTTCCATCATCTGTCTATTGCAACTGATAGTTAGTTAACAAATTGGTTAACAACTCATTAATACACAAATAATCACAAACAATCAACCACATGAAGACAAACTATTAACAAGCATCTGAACACAAACACAACCAATTGTAAAAAGACGTCTCGTATCGAGAACTAATCACAAAGAACAACGTTTTGCATGTTTCAATTGGATTCTGAACAATAATCTATTAACTATGCTATTCTGAATTGTATGTGAAATAATGGAATTGTATATTAAAACTGTATTCTTAACTTTATAATGAACAAAATGTTGATCATTTGAGACCATATAATAAATAAAAGGCACATTTGAATGCTTCTCGACTACGTAACAACGCCCTGAAACTTAGAATATCAACATAAAATGAAAATTGTCCAGAAAATTAGAACAATTTTCTAGTTTTTAGAATGGGTAGCTAATTTATATACATCTATAAACTTTTTATAATAATCGTCGGTGTGCCTAAGAAGCTCCTTGCTTCTTGATCACTTATGCAGTTTACTTTGATTCTCTTCGTGGGTATTCCTGGGTCCAGTTACTAGTTACTTGTTGCCAGTTGCCTTAAGTTAGTGTCTGCCATGAATTGGCCATAACTTACGCTGTTATGCGCCGTTCTATCCGCCACTGCACCGTTGGTTGTTCAATTTAACTGCAACTTGTAAAAATTAGTTGGCGCTGCTGCTTTTCATATTTTTCATAATTAAAGTGCAAATAAAAACTATCTGGCAAACAAACAGTTGCAATTAAATGTGTTTTCTTTTTTATTTTGATGCAACGCTTTGTTGCTGGATTTTCCCCGTATACCCTGTAGTCATTTAACTACTCATAAGGCGTATTAAGAAGTTATGCAATCTCTATTTGCTTAAACAGCAAGCAGTGCAAAGTTAACTGTCAGATGAACCATATGCTTAACCTAATTAATCTCCGTAATTTATAGTGCTCTAGATAGCATATCATTATTAATTCAAATTTGCGTAAGTTGTTTGGTATTAGTCTTCATTGCCCTTTGGTGGTATGCCTAAGCATAAGCACTTTAAAGAAAGCAAAAATCATTTATTCTTGTTACACGAAAACATCATAAAAGGAAGCTGGGCAAAGTTCTTAGGCCAAGAATCTATTTTTGGAATATAAGTTGACTTTCCGCTAACTGCTCATTTTAGTTGTCATTTCTAAGAAAACATTCTTGACGAACTCGTTTTAATTTAAAATGCATTTCTTTTTTGGTATGTTATGTGTATTACGACAACTTCAAGTTTGCCAGCTGCAGGATATAACCAAGTCGAAGGTATCCCTAACTGAATCATTGCCACTGTTTGCTCCTCTTCTGCAGCTTTGGTTTTTCAGGCATAGCTGCTGCCCGCTTGCACATAATTCACTTTTTATTATCTCATATTTTACGGCTGCGCATGAAGCGCACTAGAGCGTTAGAGATTTGGGTTGGGGTTCAGGGGGCGGTGGTGGCGGAGGTGCTCATATGTATATATATACACTAGTTGGCAGCAGTCGGCTTGTAAGTGCCACCCCACACTCAACTGCTCCCCTCCCCCCCACACCTTTTTTGCGAGGATTTGTATCGTTTAACTCATATAGTTTTTGTTTTAACCGCTGTATTTGCTTAATTGCGGTGTGTGTGTGCCGATTATGCGCACCAACGCACACACGCACTTACACACTCTCTCTGTTTATCTATCTCGCTCACACACACGCACACACACACACACCCACACATGCACATGAGTGCATATTGCAATTACTTCAACAGGCAAATAACAGCAATAAGCGAACGGTGCAGAAAGCATATATTAATCAAAATGTGAAACAATTCAAACAACTGTATTTTACAGCTAAATAACGCCCACTGTGGCTGCTGTCGCCGCCCACTTAAGCTGCATTTGACAGAGCACAATATGCTTAGTATACACACACACACACACACAGGCAATCGCACACTAACACAGACACTCAAGCAAAGTTTGTGTTTAACTAAATGTAAACATTTTAGCAAAGCGTCGCAGCAGCTTCATCTGGCTCTGCCTCTGCCACTGCCACTGCCTCAGTCGGCGTCTCAGACGTCTCTCTGCTGACAGCATGAATTCATTTAATGACAGATACACACACAAACACACACACAGACTCGTCCATACATACACCCACTGTCGGCTGCTTCATTTCAGAATTTATGTGAAATTATTTTCGATTATTTCGTGTCGCGTTCCTCCCTCAAAAAGTATGCAGTGATTTTTTTCGCACACGCCCACACACACATACACACATACACACACTTGCTTAAATCAATATATGTGTGTGTGTGAGTCATGAGATCATAAAATGTGTAAAGAAAAGAGGAAGAGGAAGAACGTCACAGAGTGTGAGAGATTTATGGTAAATGTTAATGTAGAACATCGACAAAAGGACGAAGGCTGCAACTTTCCTGCAAGGATATCAAGCATAAAATTTACATATACTGCCAGCAGTTCGCATATAACCTTCCTTCAAGTCAATTTCAAAGGCAGAGTCGCGAAAAAATGTTGAGATATTGAAACTGTTTTCAAATACGATTTATGCCATCATCAAAATACATAATAGCAAATGAAATTGTCGCAAATTTGCGCAAAAATTCAAAAATTGTGAATGCCAAAAAAACCGGCTGAAAAGAAAAAGGAATAATCCTTGAAATTATACTCTATAACGTGCTCCAGATCATTCCGACATACTTCTGCTTTCGATCATTAAAATAAATATGCTTTAACACGCGTCGTATTTGTTTTCTTATTTCACTTCTTTTCGGATGGGGTTGTTTATGATTTTTCAAATGTTATGTAAACTTGTTTTTTTTTGCATGGTTTAGGAGTAAATTATGCGGTTACAGGATGTACAATATATACATGTATATGGATATCTATACATGGAAAGATTGAGAATAGTTAAAGACGAGTTTCTTGTGCAGTTACTCGGGCTTAGATATCTTCAAAAGCTACACGCCATCTGAATATGCATATGCATATTGAATTCGTTTCTATTGATTTTTTGGCTTGAAATGCTCTCGAAAATTCTAAGCAAACATGAAAACTTTACTCGCATAAGTTTGTTCCCTGACTATTAGAAAAATCTGTCGTCTAGTCTGGTCTGTTTTCTATTTTGCATTTTTTTTGTTTGTTTTGTTATTTTTATTGTTAAACTTTCTGGCCTTATTGTTATTTGAATTCGTTTTCTATGCGTATCTCAATCCCTAATCTCGTAATTGTTACAGTCTTGGTCATAAAAATAAAAACTTTTTGCCTGCTGTAACTTATTTTAATTTTTATTGACTTGTTGTTCTATGTTCGTTTCTGCGTTGCTTTTTCTCTTATTTATTTTATTTTTTCTGTAGCCTATTTATGCCTGCTTCTTATACAGCTCTCGTTTTTGCCCTTATGGGTAACGCGTATTCGATGTGCCTTCCACCCTGCCTCTAACACTAGTCTACGTGTGTATGTGTTGCCATTTGTTGTTTGCTGGCTGCTGTTGTTATTTGATTTCGCCTTTCGACTTGCCATTTTGAATTCAGTTCATTGAATTGTTAATTTTATCGCCACATACAGACACACACACACAGCCGTAGCCCACTTTTTTCTTTTTGCTGTTTCCTTTATTGTCATTGAAAGTCGTCTCTGGCCTGGCCTGCTTTTCATTTGACGTTATTACAAGCCATGTTTTCGTTGCACCTCCCCCACCAGCCGCCCATTCCACACCCTAGCTTTGCTCATCTTTCGCTTGCTCTTCTTTTATTTTGTGGGTTTGTTTATCATTTGGCCATATTACATTTTATTGCCCACTCTGCCTGCCGCAATATGCATCCAAATCCAATATGTTTGATTACATGTCACATAAGCTAGCTACGAGGTGTGCTCTTTAAGTTTACATTATTTTCTTGTTGAGTCCAATAGTAGCAAAATTAAGCTATGCATATTTTTTTTAGTTGTTCATTAAAAATAATTAAGATAATTGATCTAGGTGAATCGAAATGAGTTTTCCAATGAATTGCGAAAACTAGTCAGTCTGAAATATTAGTAAGCTGCGTTTCACTGTCTAAACGCAGCTTCACTCGAAAAGGATCCACTTCAAAAATATGTCGCTGTCAACAAAAATTGAAGTGATTTTTATTATTAAAATTTGTTGCTCATATTTCGACAAGTTTTTATGAAAGTGCAGCCTTCCCTGCGCATATGGCATATATTGTTGTATCCACATGCATAAATGAAGAATATATATAAATCTCAGTAATATATGTATATATATTACAAGCTGCTCTCCTTGCACTCATTCTGCGTGCCATGTTTATTTTTTCATCCTTGTGAAGTCCAACATAAAAATTTGCATTTCGTGCAGTAAATTCAATATTATCCTTTATGATTTCGCTGGCGTTGCTGCCAGAAAATGTTCGTTGTCTGTATGTGAGTCCTTTTTATGTGCTGCTCCTGCTGCTTGTGCAAATCATGTGCACACTTGTGCCTTAGCACAAGACAAACAGCTACACACACAAACATGGACACACACACACACACACACACACAAAGGAATGTAGCAGCCGTCGCGACTGTCATTTGGCTGATAGACAAGGCTGACTGCTTGCTTCTGCCAGCTTCTGCCTGCCCGGCAAAAGGCAAAAACATAAACGAAATATCCTTTAGCCAGCCTGACGCCTGTTGCCCTGTGACTCGTCCATGTTCATATTCCTAGTCCTCATCCTGGTTGTGGTCCTCGGCATTGCTACCGCCAGAGCTGAAATGGCTTCAAGTGCTTTTGCTGATTTCGGAAATTGGTTTGCATTAGAAATCACTTAAGCGCATAAAGTGCTGTGAGTTATTGCCGCAGGATGTGACCAGACAACTCGTG